CACACACACACACACACACACACACACACACACACACACACTGCCAGCCCGTGCAGCAAAATACTACCACATCTTGAGCAGTGCCAAGTCGGGGGTCAATCCCAAGGGAGGCATGTGCTCCCCCCACCCCCCCACCAGTCGCCTGTGACTTTGGTCTGCTTCCGGACAGTGACAGAAACTTTATTCTGTTTGGCAAAAGTGGTGTAACTTCACACAAAAAATGGGTTTCTGTACTACAGAGGAGCTTTGGATATGGATACATTTTTGCACAGGATGAAAACCTAGACGTATAAACCTCAGGACTAAACAATTCCCTCTCTACAGCTCTTCTACAATTCTACAGAAGAGCTGCAGTGGAGCTAGGAAAACTGGACTTAGGGTGCTGACAGATGTACAGCTACCTACTTTAACTCATGGTGCTTCACAAAAAGTGCCATGAGTTTGAGCAAAGCTCTTCCCCTTCCCGACGCAACAGACATTTGCTGTTGGGTCAGGGAAGGGATCAAGCACCTTGCTGCAGTCAATCCAGGAGAAGCTTCCTGCCTGCTGCCCCTCCCCTCTAGCCCTATACCCCCTCCTCCCCCCAGAGCTCCGGTGCTGTCTGCAGGATGGGAGGGGTGAGAAGCGTAGGGAGAGAGCTGCAGGCTGGGGTTTGGCACTTTTAAAGCACTCGGCAGCCATGCACTTCTGCCAGGACATAGCTGTAGAATGCTTTCAAGGGGCCAATTGCACAATAAATGTCACTTCTGTCAGTGCCTTTAGTTACTTCTCAAAAGCTGCAGTTCTCTGAGTCTCTAACAGATCCAAATATTCAGTCTGCAAGGTTTCAGGTTTCAGTAACCTGGCCCAAGCACCTGTTAAAACAAAAGCAATCAGAGAAAAAAGGGGCAACACAAGAATATATTTGCATCATCTGAAATTATCTAACACTGTGTTGGACTTTACTTGGCAATTGTATGAGATGATGCACAATAGTTTATGTTGAACAAAATTCATTGAATATTTGCAAAAAAATCAAAACTAAAATGGGAGTTTCAGGATATGCATAAACCTCAACCATTACTGATCCTTCCATATATTTGTAACAAGCCAGAGAAAGAAAAGGGCTGCAGAGCACTTCAAAGAAAGAAAGGCAAATCAAATAAACCTCAGCTGAAGAGTGCTTTAAAAGTGGCAACCCCCAGCCTGGAGCTTCCTCCCCTCCCTTCTGCCCACTCCCATCCTACAGAGAGCACCAGAGCTGGGAGTTGTGGGGATGAGGCTAGGGGAAAGCGTACAAAAGTGAAAACATTATGCAATGGTTGGAATTATTCATACATCAAATGCAATTTTTCTTTTTCTTGTTTTCTCATAGAGTTCCAAGCAGATTAAAATCCAATAGACATGCCTCTCTTCAGGATTCTTTGCCCAAGATGTTTATAGTGAAGTAAGCTATATTTACAGCATGCTAGCTACTCCACTGTAATCCTTTGCACACAGTAAATGCAAATAGCTAACTACTTTCCTATCATCACATAGGGGAAACTGGGTAGACTAACTTGCTTCCACTGAGCATTAAGGGTGCTTACAGATGTGCTAGTTCACATTTTAATTAGAATGTGTCTGCGTCTGCTCCACGTTCTAATTACAGTGCTCTGGGGTCACCTCATCATCACCTGTATTAAGCATCACTCCCCACCCCCGCCCCGGCTTTTAATATGCCCACAGGTGTGCTTTATCTGTAGTTCACCGAATGAGCTTTAAAGTATCCCATGGCCATTTTGAAACATGGTGGTGCTTAATACACATGATGGTCAGTTGTTTTAATTATAGCTGCTGTCCGAGAACCACTCTAATTAAAACTCCTGCCTCCATCCCTGAGCACATACGTGTATAGGCAGCCTAAGATTCTATACAAAGATTCAATGCAGAGCAGCCAATGTACTGTCCATTCACACCATTGATTACTTTGATATAAAACTTTGTTGGGTAAACAAGGCCTTATTTCCTCTAGAAAAAATTCCACACAGAACAACATAATTATGTCACTATAAACAACTGGAACTTAATTGGGCCCTGTTTTCTTTTTCTAAAGATCCTATTAAATGAAAAGTATTCATACTAAAAACCTTTGTCTGATTCAGTGGCAAAAACCTCTTAACAATATCCCCCTCTTAAAATATTTAGAGTTGAAGGGGCTGAAGGGAGAGGAGACTCATGCCTTTCTCATCAGGGGAAGAAAAATATTACAGCTCCACATGTTTTGCCTGTTTGCCCTGTTGGCCAAGTCATTCTCTTCGTAGCAAACAATCCCCTTTTATTTGTAAGTTCTGATGCTACTTTTCCTCTAGCTATATTCCTTTGTGCTGAGTTATTTATGAGTTGAGATTTTTTTTCCTACAAGAATTTCTGCTCTTCAAAAAAGGGTAGTTATTTTCCTCTCAGCACCATAAACAGTCTCCAAAATGTGCTAAAGTGTGTAGGACAATGTCCAATAAGAAGGAAAAAAAACACTTCCCAACACTTTCCCAACTGCAGATGCATCCCTCAGTGTATAATTCAAAAGCCAGTTATACATGAAGGGCAGACTCCTGGCTCACTTCCCCCTGCCCCCAAACGGCCATTATGATTCTGCAAAACCACCGTTTTTGGCACTTATGCAGGTATGGATTCTCTCTTGCCCTGAGTATGTATCTGTTGCAAGCAAGGATCATTTTCCATATTTTTGCCCTGTGGTTAGTGCACATACCAAGGGAGTAAGAGACCCAAGTTTTAGACCCCAACCCCAAAAGAAATTTGAACTATTTACTTCCTGCTTCCTACCAAAGAGCTTTAATCAGGTTAGGCATTATGCTGACCCTTCCCCCCCTTCCTCAGCCAAGAAAAAGAGAACGAGAAAGACAGCAAGCTATAAAGCTCAATGAGATGGCTATTACCCCTGCAGGAAGAGGGGCCTGGATTCTAGCCTGGGCCCTTTGTCCTTATGGAACACAAACTTCCTTTTTTACTTAATACCTATAAAAATGCAAGGTGTGATGGGCTCATCTTAGTGGGCTGGAGAAGGGCCTGGATATTCCCTAACCTAGAGCCTTGTAGAGCAAGAAAAGAAAAACAGCTCACAGCACTGATGGGAACATAAGCAATGTGACAACGTGTAACTTAGATATACAACACCACAGAGCCTGTGATGATCCTGACAACTTTGGTTTCCGCCAGTAGTAGAAGCTTAGCTTATCTCATTAACACTAGGAAAAAAATCTGTTTTCACTTACTTCAGTGTAAATCAGCAGCTGGACTCAGGAAATCAGTATTCATTTGCCAGCTCTCCTGTGGACTTTGTTTGACCTCAGACAAATCACTTAATCCTTATTTGTGTCAGTTTATCTGTAAACAGAGATGATCATGCTTTCATTATCCTTTGTGCCTCTTTAAAATGAAGAGGCACAAATCCCCACTTGGGTTGAGGAATGTTCCTTGCAGTGTATTCATACATAGTAAAATTAGATCCCAAAATTGGCTTGGTCTGTAGGGGTGTCTTTACATGTGCTCTGGGGGTGAGGGGGGTGCTTTAATTAGAGTGGCTTTCAGGAGCTGCTCTAATTAAAGCACCCACAACATTTTGTGTGTTCAGTGTCCAATGCTCCATTTTGACAAGCTTTAGTTAAAGTGCACCCACTGCCATGTTGAAGTACAGGGACACTGAATACATGAGATGCCAACCCTGCTGAAGCATGCCAATTAATTGCGTGCCATTACAGCTCATTGCACCAGGCATCCCACAAGTCTACAGGCACCCTGGGTGCTGCTATAGAAACATTCGAGAGTTACAACAGTGAGCTTTGGAGAAGGTCTGACCAAAAATATGCAGTACTCCTGCCTGCAAGAAAGGTGTAAATGGGGTGGTTAAATTATGCCTAATTTAACAAGTGGTCAGTAGAGGTGTGCAAAGTAGGCCCTATTCAGATTCGGCCCAAATCAGGAACAGTGATTCAACTAGTTGATTTGGATCACTGTCCCCAATTCGATTCAGCTGCATCCAAATCTGAAGATCTGATCCTGATTCAGAGAATCAACGATTCAGACATAGACACAGCTTTAAAAGTTTTTTCTACATACCTTGAGGTAGCAGGAATGGCTCATGATCGCCGTGATGCTGTGGTGCATGGAGCAGAAGTACTTCTGGTCCACTTCCAGGTTCACCACCGAGCATGCCGGGGGGCCTCCCACACTCCTGTGGGACACTCCATCTGCCCCAGCATCACAGCATTCATATGCCATGCCTGGTAACTTGAGGAACGTAGAAAAAACATTTGAAGTTGTGTCTATGGACAAATCTCTGATTCTTTGAATCGGCATCAAATCTTCAGGTTTGGATTCAGCCAAATCAAATCAGGGACAGTGATCTGAATCAAGAAATCGAATCACTGTCCCCAGTTCAGGCCAAATCTGAATGCGAATCAAATACAGCCCGTTTCGCACACCCCTAGTACATACCTATTAAAATTTCCTTTTAACCAGTTGTCATTACAACAGTTAAAAACTTAATCAGTATGGCAGCTTTCAGCCTGCCTGTGGACAGAAGAGTAGAGGGGAGAAGGGAGGAGAAGGAGGAACAAGTAACTAATAGCTAGGCTCCATGGACCCGGGTGCAGTCACTTGCAACCTCCCGCTGCCTGCTGTGAGCAGCCCAGGCAGAGGAAAGGGGCGGGCCCTGGAGGTAAGGCAAGATGGAACCCTTGATGGAAATGTCTTTTTATTGACCCTATCCCAAAATACATGCTACATCTTTTGGGATCACCTTCATAAATAAAACAGGTATTATTAGTTACTATATAAACCATTTGCAGTCCCACAGAATGAAGGGTTTATTAAAGACTGCAATAAGAGCGCTTTGCAGCTTAACCATTTTTACCTGTGGGACTTAAACTTCCACTTAGGTTTTTATTTGCTACAGCCCCAAGGTGCCTGCAATGTCAGTGTCTGAAGAAAAGAGGCTTCAGAGGTGATTATAGTTTTATGTGGAACAAGCTGTTATGAATTGGAAGACAGATGCTAAAACTGAGTCAGATACAGGTACATATTTTGCAGTTGCAAGCTATCCAAGTACCTTTTTGCTGTTGCAGTGTTTTTAATCTCTGTCAGCATGTCTTGTACTGCAAAATAAAAATGTGTGGATTGTGCATATGAATATATAGTATATATAAATATTTATTTTAGGAAGACTATGAACCACCACATTTTCATTTAAGAGATAATTAAACAGTGTATCGCACAAACCTCAGAACCACTCGTGGATTATAAAAGCTTAACAATATCTTAGTATCATGTTCCAAAAATATCTTAGTGTAGATGAATTTCCGAATTAATTGCACAGCAGCCTAAACATAATCTTAACTTTCTATAAATGTTACCAGCAGCACTTTCTCTGTTTTAAAGTAGCTCACTTGCATTCCTTTGGCTTTAATCAAGGTAGCATATCTATTTTACCCCCCACTTTCACTGATCTTGAGCATCAGGAGAATAAAAGAAATCAGACTCAGTAAGACAATGACCATAAAGAGAGAAACTCCCATTGCAAGAATCTACACAGCATCCATGTTACAGCAAGGAAAAATTCTGGCTTGTTTTGTTTGACATTTGATGTAGACAAGACAAGGGAGATTCTTTCTCTACTGAAGCACATATATGTGGACAGAAAAGGGTCCCCCTTTCATATCAACCCTGTACTACACAGGGTTTGCAGGCCAATTCATGTCTGCCGAGACAATGATGTGAACAAACATCACGCTTTCACATCCTGCTTTTGGGGAAACCTTAACAAACTATTTAGGGCAGATGGGCCTATGCAGGTGTTCCTGAGAGCGGGGTTTTGAAACACTGAAGTTACAAAGGTGTGACTGAGGGCCCGTTTGGCTAAAGTGAAACTTCACTGCTTATGCACAAAATGGGAATAACCCAGGCTGGCTGCAGAGACCAGGACAAAATTAGGTAGAAGCTTTGTGACTTGCAGACAGAGTAAATGCAATGAGAAGATACAAACTTGAGGCACCGTGTCAACAGTGCATCGCCGTCTTCCTGGTGAGCACTGCTCTTGAATAGCACTTGCTGGTGAGCACCCCTCATTGCTCCCACTTGCATGTGCCAAACCTAAATATGTGTTGGAGCTGCTCCAAGGGGCCTCCTTGTTGCTTTTCTCAGGATAGCTCTCTCAGGTGTGCTTGAAAGCAGCAGAGGGTGGCAACTCCAGGGTAGCTTTACCATCTCATTTCCAGGTTTACCACACAGAAAAGTAGGAGCAGGTGGGCAAATATACTTGAGAGCAACCAGGTGCTCTTTGAAGACAGACAAGGGCCTTTCAACGCCACTTCCAAAATAAAAGAAAAAGAAAAAAATCACTTTCTCTAGTCGAAGTGCTCTTTAACTGTATCTGGTGGTACCCCAGCACCTGCTATAAAAACATGCATATTCATGGTCAAATGATTTCCCCAACCTATACTAATATTAACTGTGTAGCCAGTGAATTGTTAGGACATGCACAGTTAACTTATCAACGGTTTTTATTTGTTAGTACTGCATGTTCTGAACTGCTTCATTTCCCAGATGTCAGCACAATGGTGGTTATAGATTTGGACAATGATAATAAGGCAAATATGCTAAACATAACTTAATATTTATCAGAAGCTAGAGGACGATATATGGAAAATATCAAAAGGAATACATTAAAAGAACATTATGGCTACAATGTCAAACACTCAAAAGTTAACAAATGCTAAAGCTAAAATTATTGCAGATCCTTAATTTGTTCCATCTACTTTGTACCTATGATATAGCCTTCAGTTTAAGATGATGGCATTTTAACACCTACCTACATCTTTATACTTAATATTGTTAAAGTGATGTGTTTCTTCTGAGCACTTACCATTTTTAGTAGGACACTGGGCACTAGTGGGTACCAACCTACCTGCCCTTGCCTATTTTCCCCAAGTCTTTCCCTACCCTTTCTGCTCCTATCCCCCATACCCAGTTCCTGCTTCTTCTCCATTAACTGCCAAAATATTTTCCAAACATGTGCAAACTGAGGTTTTTCTGAAGACTATGATTTAGGCAAATTTTCACAGCAATGGCAAAAAACACATACTTGACTTCAGGGAAAGTCTTTCCCTGCCAAATGTCAAGCCCCTGTTCCAAAATCTCCATTACATGGTCATAGAAACTTTATAAACATGGGCAAATAAAGCTATCCCTCTTCTTTCTCCTTTGAAGCGGCTAAACGTTTTTAACTGAAATTTCCCACAAAAATGCAGCCCGAGTAAGATACTGGCATGAAAATTCAAGGCTAATGGTGAAAGTCTGAAAAAACTGTAAAGAACTATAAGCAGGTCTTGCCCTGAAAGTGCTGGGAAACATTAGCTATAGGCAGTGGTACCTGGATTTACCTCCTATAAACTAGTCTATGTATACGTCAAAAAGCTGAATGACCAAAAACCAGCATAGTACACGTTTGAATGATAAAAAAAAAACAAGACAAATAAGCCCTTTGTTAAAACATAGAGTTTTATTAAATGGTTTTACACTGTTGTCTAGATTATACCACTGACATTAAATGTATTATCAAAGATTAAGGAGCAAGACACTTTATTAATAATCATGTGTACTTTAAGTACACAAGTAGGTTCTCTCACTTCAGTGGGATTTCTCATGTACTGAAGTGCTTTGCTGGATCAGGACCTAAATGAATAAGATATAAGTTTTTCTCTCTTCTGTTGAAACTTACATATGAACCATTTTAGGGTAGTTCCAGCTTTAGCAAGGCAGTTGACATCCAAAGAAAAGGCATCAATACAGTAAGTAACCAATGATACAATGAAATGCACTGCACAACAGAACCCCATAGTAACAGAGCAGATCCTAACCAGCTCTTCAGAGGCTCAGATAAATATAGACAATACAATTGCTAGCTGACACTTAGGTTGTGTACAGACATTTGGGGAGGTTACGGGGAGGATAGATGGAGTTCAAAATGGTCACCTGATCTAAGGTAAGTCAGGATGGGGGGGGCTAGCAGTCTCTGGAGGGGATGGGATGGTCTACAGGGGAATTGAGAAGGAAGGCAGCATCCATGGGGATAATTGAGGGGGGAGGGTGGAAATCACCAGACAAGTAACACCTCCCCAGCAAACCAACCCGCCCCTCCCCCCAGCCCAACTTACTTGGTCCGCTCCCAGCACTGGCAAATGCCAATAAAATTGGCACTGGGAGTAGCTTGTGGGGGGAGTTGTCCATCTAGGCATGGGTGGGAGGGATGGAGTGGGAGAGGGAGGGGGTAAAAATAGCTCAGTGTTGGGTGGGTGGAGGAAAAGCACAGCCCTGGGGCTCACAGTGGGGCTTTCCCAGCCCAGGGGCTGAGCTGGGAACTGTACAAAAGTTCAGGAGAGTTACATCAGTCTAAAAATGGCCAACCCAATTTAAATTGTGTGTACCTCAGAGAGAGGGTTAACTTAAATCAGGTCTGCTGACTGCCATATTTAGACTGATGTAATTATCCTGAACTTCTGTACAATTCATGCTTAGATCTACCTAACTAGTGCAAGGTCCACACCTCAGCTAACTAAATTAGATCAGGTGGCCATTTTTAATGCAATCTAACCTCCCCATAACCTCCCCACAGACAGCATTAGACACCAGGAGACAGCACATAATAGTTTCAGCCACACCTCACAGCAGTCAGTCACCAAGTGCAGCCTAAGTAATGCAATTAGCATAGTAGCATGGACAAAGAGGTACAGGTGTTGGCAGCAGGAGAGGAGAACAAGAGTAGACTCTGGTAGATTGAAGTTAAAAGACAGTAAGTGAGGAAGGCCACAAGGGACAGACCAGATCAGCCACGTCACTATAAAAAAAAAATAGTGTTGGCTGACACAATTACCTAGGAGAAGGCCAGATCACAGGACTCAGGTGCAGTGTCAGACATGAGATATAGAGAGTACCAATGAGTGCTGGTGTAGCACCTGTGCTCAATGAAAGCACGCCTGTTCCTCATCACTCACCACAGGCAAATTGTTTCCAGGCAAGTCAGTTCTGCCCATTAATGTACAGTGCCTATTTATGCCAGCTTTCTGCTACTTGACATCAGCGTGCTATTATGTAGGATCCGATTTACCGAGCCACCTCCTTTTAACCCTGCTTTTAATTGACTCAATGAAAACGGTCATAGAAACAAATTCCTAAGAATTTCCAGGGCCAAAGCCTTAGGTAGGATAACTAAGTTTGTTGAGTTTTCAAAATATTTATCTTGCTCCTCCATTTCCCTAAATTCACTTGAAATGATTCATTTATAGCCAAAACTTTTTACCTTTGACTACGTTATTAGGCTGCCATTAATATACTTTTTCTAGCTAACGTTAGCACTACTGTTTACTCAGGAAGTTAACTCGAGAGTATTGTTCCACATAGTAAGATGCGAAGATTTCCAAGGTTTGGCATAAACCATTAGGTCAGACTAGCCTTTCCCAAGGATCTAGTATCAGATATGAAGACCTGGATCTGAGAACATCTGAATATTCAAAAACTGAGCTGAGTTCCAGAAAATAATGAGATTTACTTAAAAAACATATTATTAAAAATTAATGAGTTGGGGGTCCTTCTATTTGTATTCTAACATTTAGAAACTTCTCAGTATAGGCAAATTACGTTTCCAATCTTCTCACTGCCACCAAGAGGCATAAGCTTTACTCTTTTTTAAATGAAAGCTGAAATTCTCATGTAATCAAGTGTCTCTGTGTTAGAAATGAGTATTTCATTATGGGTTGTCATAAAAGTGCAAGTGTTGGTAATGCTGCCTTCCAATCTCTGTGCTAGTGCAAATTCAGGCAGAAACAAATTGGGTATTGATGTACACTACACATCTGTAGCAGAACTGCTGTAGTTTGAATGGCTATCATTCAGTGCTACAGCATTGCCAACAGGGCAAAAGAAAGATACAGCTGTGAGTTATAGAGCAGCACAGGTCCTGTTCCCATTTAATGACAAGGAAAGCCTTGCAGCACAATCCACTGCCTTCTGATATCAGTAAGAGTGTTTCCATTGATTTCAGTAGGCCCTGGATCTCTCTCTTAGTGAATTTTTGTTCCTTTTCTTCTTTAAAGAACTTGAGAAGACATCTTTCAAGGTCACGTGGATGGTAACGTACTGTCCAAAGGCAAGACATTTGTGTCACAGCTGCTTCCTTGTCTAATATTATTACTTTTTTTCTAATCTTGTCATCAGCTCCTTTTGGTGTGAAATTAAAAGAAGTCTTCTAAGCAGCTGCTGATACACACAATATGCTACGTGAACATCATGTCATTCACATCCTGTTTTGTCAACTTGGTATTTTCCTCAGTGTGTGTAAATAAAGAGTTCCTGAACAGTCCTAAAACTAAAAAAGGCCTGATGTGACAAACTTGTATTTATACAAGTAAGATGCACTGAAATCAATTTCATCTCAAACATTCTGCTCCCCTGTTTGCATCTGGATGTCGTAATAGAAATGCTGGCAGACCCATACCTATTTTTAGTGTATTTGAAGCCCTAGGACCCTAAGTCTAAATACCCTGAACACTTAAGAATTCCCACTGAAGTGAATGGGAGCATGAGGGGTTAAAGGTGTCAGGATCAATTCCAAATCAAGTACTTTTGAATTTGTAAAGATACTGCATATTCCTAGGATTTAAAACTACATTTAATAATGATATAATCTGAGAGCCCATTTCACACCCCCCCCCCCAAAAGAATGAAGATTAGTAGAGTTGCCATGCTGTGTAAAGCCCAAAAATGAGTCCAGGGACATATATGAATATAATTCTGTGTGCTGGCACATCATGGAAGCCAAATAAATATTTTTTCAGAATCAGGCCTCAGAGAAATTAATCTCAGAATCCAGTCCCACAAAATAACAATGTTACAGTGCACACAGGCTATAATCTGCTCTTTAATGCACACTGAATTACATCAGCACAGCACTAATTCATCAGCACATAAAGCATATGTATAATGAAAGTATAAATTATGTATTGAATATTATTTTGCTCTGATGTTCTGAAATACCAGTGCATGTATATGTTTGTTCAATATCTGCTGAAAAGCTTCACTAACAGCCAAGTAGATATAGGTGCTTTGTCTCCAAAGTATATGTAACCCTGTGCTATTTGAAGGTATGGTCAACTGTGATATGAAGCTGGTAAGGAAACTGCATCAACAGTATAAATAAATGATGGCTTTAAAATATGAATCACACCATAAATAAATGATCTCTCTCTCCTCCCTCTCTCCCTGTCTCCAGATAGAAAATTAGTTAACTGAATGTGTTATTTGTTTGACCAAACAAAATTATTTTCTTCGATGATATGGACACGTCCAAAGAGTGCAAACTTGACAACGTAAAGTCTAATAAGGTATTAATCATTGACATAATTTGGCTGGTTTGTTCTGGCAAGCTTCAGATCTGAATAAAGTTTTCTGTAAGAATTTAAAACAAAATTTCAGATTGAGACCTCTGAAGAAAGAAATCAGGTTAATCATAATTTTTTTAAAGGAGTAATTTATGGTATATTATACAATAATCACGCAACATGTTGTTAAAAAGAAATTACAGCTGCAGGCTTGTATCAGTGATATGAGTGCATATTCATTTCATTTAAAAAAATAAAAAAATGTTTTTATGAATAAGAGTTAAAGTAAATTTTTTCAAATAAGGCTGTTTAAGATGAGATTTTTTTTTTTTAATCTGCTTTCTGAAAGGGGGGGGAATATAGTTCTCATGAAAATGAAGCTGAGACATTAAGTATGAAGCCACTGGTGGCGATCTATAATTAAAATGTTAGCTTCACCTATTGTGAAATGAGTCTTACATCAATAGCTACCACCTTTTTCTTCTGTATAGATTATTTTCAAGTTACAAACCTATTAAGTAAATCACAAAATAACCTTGATCTTTGATTTGCAATTTGAAATTTTTGTCTCTGCCCTAGTACTTGATTGCTGATATACAGCATGGAAACTTGTAGGATTGGTTATGGTCTTAGCTTAGTTGAAATGCTATTCAAGTGTTTGTAAAAGAAAGGGATAGATTCTAGGGCTGTGCAAAACAGCACCATTTTCCTTTGACTTCTGTTTCAGCATTTCGACAGAACAGTGCTTCGTTTTGAGTTTAGTTTTCAAAGCACTGTTCCATTTCGTTTCTCTGAAACAGTTTCGCTGTTTCAACATTGTTTCAAATTTTGCCCACAGGCTATAATGGGGAAGCATAAAACTGGAGGAGGAGCAGTCTCCTGAAATTGCAGGCAGATCAGGGGCCCGTACCCCCAGAGGAGTCCGGCAGAGCCCTCCTGGGGTGTAGGTGGGAGGCTGCTGCCACCGCCTGGGACTGGTGCTGGGAGCTGAGCCTAGTGGAGGGAGGAGTGCAGCCCTGGCACTGTGCTCCACTTCCCCCCACTGGGCTTAGTTACATGGGGCTAGGAGCTGCTGGGCGCTGAGCCCGGTGGAGGGAGGTGGAGCGCAGCCCCAGCACTGCATGCTGCCTCCCCTCACTGGGCAGCAAGCCATTGGGCACTGAGCCCAGTGGAGGAAGATGGAGTGCAGTGCCTGTGCTGTCCTCTACCTCCCACCACTGGGCTCAGCACCCAGCAGCTTGCTGCCTGGTGGGGGGAGGCAGCATGTCACACTGGGGCTGCGCTCCACCTCCCTCCACTGGGCTCAGCTCCCAGTGGCTCACAGCCCTGTGGAAGTCAGCCCAGTAGTGAGAGGCA